GGTTCCTTCACTTATAAGCCTTAGAAAATGCTCGGCTGTACAATTTCCACAGTAAAATCAGTTAATGTCAATTCAAAGTCATGGCGTGGAACATACCAGCTTCCCAAGGTCAAAATGTCAGAAAATGCACAGCCAATCCAAACTTGCACCAACTCTTTCCTTAGGTAACTCATTACCTTTGAAATCTACATCTCCTGGACCATTGAAAATGCTCAGAGGGTAAAGGTACTTACTACCAAGCCTGATGACCTGAGTTTGATCTCCACATGGTAGAAGGAAAGAACCAACTCCCTCAAGTTGTCCTCTGACCTCCACATATACCCTATGATATATGTATGCCCACAGATACTCACACACATATACATAAGCAAATGTAAAAAAGATAATTTAAACCACCTACTCCTTTCTCCAACTCCATCCAGAAAGCAGCACTTAAATGAGTATTGAGCTACTGGTTAAAAAATGTATGCAAGATAAATGTTGTTAATAAGAAGAATTCAACCTTGGATAACAGAATCTACGTATACACACACACACAGACACACAGACACACAGACACACACACAGACACACACACACACACACACACACACACACACAAACACGCACTGCAACTGGAGGCATCTACAATCAAGACAGTTCTTATAACAGCCGGTAGTACACTTCGACCACGCTGGCTAATCACACACAATTCTGTATCTCTTTTATTATAAACTACCATGTTCTGAAGCCATGGTTTCTGGAATGCTTAGGTAAATTTAGAACAGTTTCTATGGGTTGCTAAAGTTTAGTCCATTGATGAGTCCTGTAAAGGAACTCATGAATTCCAGAGGAATGTGAGTTCCATTGGGCATTGGCTATCTCTCTCATTACACGGGCTGTTCATGAGCCTTCCATTTAGCAGACTGTCGAGATCATCTCTAATATCCCCTTGTCTTTAGTGATAAAATAATGAAGAAACACAAATATTTCCTTCTTCTGTCACCAAGAAAATCTCTCTTACCCTGGGAAAGCTACACTAAACTGTGTGCTCAAGATGGCTGTGTCCCTCTATTTAACATGATTCAGATAAACAACAAAAACAAAAAAATAACAAGAAGGAAAAAAAGGATGACTAGATCTGAGAGCCAGAACAGTAATGAAAACATCACAAAAACTGGCAAAAGTCTCCTCCTTTGCCCTAAGGGAACCATGACTTCCCTCTCTCCCCTCTCTTCCCCCTCCCCAGGGCCTCAGAGCTCCCATAACAATAGACAAGACCCAGAGCCCTGATCAGGACTATAAGAAGGCAATGTCAATCAAAGCCAATGGGTACAGCTGCCAACAGGGCCCCTGGATACTTTCTCTTAACAAAATGTCACTCTTAAAAGGCATTCATCTTTACATTTAGGTTATTTAAGTTTCTGAACTTAACATGACATCTTAGCTTGATGTTCAGCCTCATTGCTTACTTGCTGTACCATTTTAAAAGTAGTTATCCTAAATTATTTAAAGGGAAGAAGAAATTGCCCTATAAAATGATGGCTATGGATAGCAAGGCAGAACACAGGCGCAGAAAGAGTTGCCGTACCCTCCTCACACAAAAGGGTCTATCCTCTCGTTTTGAAGACAAGAAATTGAGAGGCAGAGAAAAAGTAAGCACCCAGATGTCAGCATGCAATAGTAGAATGGGGTCAACCTAGGTTCTCAGGGTGTCTCCTCCTCAGACGAGGACCTGAACAAGAAGTGGCATATTTGGAAACCTGGACAGTGAAACTACACTGCCGTTCCCGCCCTCCTGAACACAGGTTCCCAGGCATACAAGCAACATTCAAGTCCAGATGGGACAAAAATCTCCACAAACAGGCGACATAAAATCTAAGATCATCAGTTAGACTTTTTCCTCCTTCTCTGACTCATGAATGTTCAGTCTATAGAGGTCAGATAACAATAAGCCACTGTCCTATAACAACCTAGAAAGACTTACAAATCCATAAAGCACTCTGCATCATCTAGAACTTTCATATGCATTATTTTATTTCACTCCCACACTCAATTCTCTTCTGCTAGTAAAGAAACAGAACCAAAGTGATCCTGGCCAAGGCCACAGATGGTAAACAGCAAGGCTACAGTTGAACCTAATCCTGCAATTCCAAGTTCACTGCAACACATTCTACAGTCTCCCCACCCAATGCTGTTAATGACATGAGGCCAAACATAACAGCAGACCAAAGGCTGACTGAACCACACCCTCAGACCAGCTAAACAATGACTAAAATCCTTGTTGGAACACAGAACTTCAAGACTGAGGCTTTTCAGAGCAGGTTAAGCCCCTAACTATCCTCCAAGAACTTGAGGCTGGTCAGATGGCCTACAGCAGTGTGGGCAGAGCTGGACCTGTCAAGTACATTAGGCTCTGGGTGACATGGCCCAGCTGTGTAGGCAGCTCCCTTCAAGGGCACTCCCAAACATTCCAAACCCTGTGGAACTGGAAGGAGGTACTGAGCTGTGCAGGGACCTGGCAGCCCTGACAGAACTTTCCATATCGCATTTGTACTTTTGTACCAGGGAGGTCACTTCAAATAAAGTCCCCCAAAATTTCACGGACTCTGCCTTCCAAGGATAGACTGGGAAGTACCAATGGATGCTCCTCTGGGGAACCAAGTGGGACCCAAGGGACTTCACTTTGAATTTTTACCACCAGTACCATAATTTATTCATAATATTTTTGAAAACTAGATTAAAATTAAATTTATCAGCTGTGGGGATTAAAACTTGCACTGCATCAAGGTAAAAAGAGAAGCTGACATTAATGACATAAACTAGTAACACAACTATTACTGTTACCACGATTAAGACAGGATCCCATATAGCCCAGGCTAGCTTTCACCTCATTATGTAGCTAAGACTGGCCTTGAACTCCTGATTCTTCTGCTTGATTCCCCTGCCTGTATGTCCCAAGTGTTGGGTTTTACAAGTGTGTAACCCCAATGCTCAGCTCAAGAAAAGTATTTTAATCAAAAGGTTTAGAACCACAGTCTAGAGGAGACCTTTACCAAATCACTAGAGATTAAAGAGACTTATTTACAAATTATAATTAGCTTTCCCTGACTGTAACAGAAGAAACAACAATTTTTGGAGGAGTAAAAATATGTTTAGTACTTACTCTGGGCTAGGCATTTTTGAAAATTTCATCTAATCTCAATAATGGAAAAGGTAGCATTATGTATAGTAACAAACCAGGAAATAAGGAGCTAAGCATCTTTCACGTAGCTGCACTGCTACTAACCCCTGGAGTAGAAAGATCCAAAGCGCAAAGCTGGCACAACAGATAAGCCTTTCAAAACAGCCACTGCTGCACAGCAAAACAAGCCTGCATCGAGGGAGGCAAAGTACACAGAAACAGTGCCCAGTTTCTGGCAACCCTTTCCATCTGAAACCTCCCGGTGATCACATGCCCCTCAGAGGTATCTGAGCATACAGTTCTATTCCCCATGTTCACAGATGATAAAGCTGGCATGCCATCCCAGGCCATGAGCCAGAGAAGTTTTCACAAGTGTTGATGGATTTACACTTGCCTACCTCCTGACCCTGCTTACATGGAAGGCTGCATCAGGGAGATGACTGACAGCAGGATGGGCAACAGAAATGTACCTGGAGCCTGACCACAAAGCCTTCCACATGCTGAGTGTAAGAGCACATCTATGGTTTGCTGTTGTTCGCTAGCAAAGTCCTCTTAAGCGCCTGACATAAGGAAACACAACTTAAACATAATAATAGCCCAAGTTTATTAGCTTTTATTGAGCTTTTCCTAGTGCAAAAAAGTTAAGAATACTGGTAAAAGCTTGCACACACTGCACTTTCATTAGTCCTCATGATAACCATCCCTCAGATTAGGTACCATTTTCATCCTTATTACAGATATGAAGAAGGGCTTCAGGTGTGATGAAGTAACTTAAGAAGCCAAACCATATGAAGTAGAAGTGAAAACTTAGAACTATGGGCCTGTCACTGCTAACCACTGTACCTATGCCTCCCATAAAACATGTTTAGTACCTTTTCTTTTCTAAGTATTCTTGCTACCCTTTATTATTAAGACAAAGAAGCAAAGCATCCAGATAGAGGAGGTAAAAAAAACCTTAAACCGATGGGCCAGTAAAACAAATGGCATTATAAAGTGTTTAGAAAAGGAACTGCAAAACACATGATCAAGTCAAGAAATACCAAGTTAGCCAATACAGCCATAGAAA